TATTCAAGAGGAGGTTGTACAAGCACCTTGCTGAGCTCATTTGAGCCCAACTACCCCTTGCCCATGGCAGGAACCAGACTTATAATCTTACAGGTCCGTTCCAGTCCTCCTTTTCTATGATTTTATATACACATGCACGCATGCATGCACACACACAAAAAACATAATATGTATATAATTGTTATATAGGGTAAAGTTTAGACAAGAACTGTTGGAAAAACGCTTGATGGAGAAAAAGGAACTGGCCCTCCAAGAAGCACATGAGGAAGAAGAACGGCAAAGACGTCTTGAAGCCCTCCGACAACAGGTGCTTTTATATCCTGTATTTTGTATTTCATATGTATTTAAATTACTAATATTTACATAAATATTATGTGAAAGTTCTAAAAACAGTCCCTCAACATCAGGAAACAAAAATATTAAAGGTTTTGTAGGAACATTAACTCTGGCACATTACATACATCCTGTATGTTAGAAGCTATTGACAAATAAATACAAATTTCTCTGTGTTTGGCCCATTTTCTCTTTTTCTGTGGTTGTTTTTCTTTTTATTTTTTTCTTAACTCTGTGCAAAGAGTGAAAACAAGGATTTTAGATAACCCTGACCCCTGAAAAGGGGCTGGAATAGAACACAGATTCTTGGTACAAGGCTGAGTTTAGCTCTCTCTAAAGCTGGTGTAGGTCACAAAAAACTCGTTCCAGGTAAAATTTGTCCAAGCCTGCTGACTCAGATTTTTTACTTTAACTTTTTTCTTGCTTGTCTTTGAATATCTGCATTTTTATTAGTAAATTTCCTTGATTTTTTTTCAAAGGATTATAAAGGAAAAAATCATGGTTGTGATTCTGTGTACTTCATTACTAGGGTACAGGGAAAGGGTGATTTTTTTTTGTGGTCATTCTAATTCTGTGTTATTCTGGAAGTGAGGCTGTGAGGGAGAGAAGGGCATAGGAAAATATAAACAAACCTCAACGTTTGTTTGGCTGCTATTTAATCCTATTTAATCTTTATAAAAACCTATTTCCAGTCAGTTAGTAATAATATTTTTAAGAACTTAATTCAGTTAAAATATTCTGTGCTCATACCCACATCATTTGGGTATTTTAGTGAATTCTAAAAATCTTTTAAAATCTTTTTGATTAATCAGTCTAACTACATTGCCTTTGTTTTCATACCAGAAAGTATTTTCCTTGCTGGCAGCAAGCTTGGTTGTAAAGTCAGTGAACTCTTAATTTGTAGAGACTGATCTTGCTTGGTTATTAAAGTTAAAGTACCTTCCAAAGCTGGTTTTAGCAGGATAACTGAGTTCCACTTAAATTATTCTTCTAACCACTATTTTTAACTCCATTTACACCTAGTATTATTGAAATCTTATTCTGTGAAATACACACCTTAGCTTTTATGTGGAGCAGATAAAGTTAGTATAATGGAGCCTGGGGTGTTGAAGCTGGGCCACTGTGGAGCCAGGAAAGCAAGAGAGAGCAAAAGGGAGCCAAGTGATGCATGCATTTCCCTGGAAAGAAGTCCTGCGTGTTCTGGTCCCTGCTCCCAGGGCTACATATTAATTTTACATTAGTTAGTCAATGGACCAAACACAGAAATAATCCTGGGAGCTTCTGCTCCTGCTACCTCTCTGGCCTCATGACTCTCACATTGTTGGCTACCCACTGACCCAGTTTCAACTGGAGATGCAGAGGGTACTGTTCTCTAGCTTGTCAGTTAGACAGTCTCTTGGAGGTAGTAAGATATGGATTTGAATGTCCTCAGGAGTGCTGTTAAGCACCCAGTGCTTGGGTGCTTGATTTACCCTCACATTTGGTATACTTTGGAACCTGTATGGACAAAGAAACCTAGGGTGGAATTCAGTTCCCTTTTGTATACATAAGTGGAAGTTTTTCCAGCCATGTAAATAGCCTTTTTTGGCACTTCAGCACAGTTTGCAATTCTTTTACCCTCTGTTACCTATGTAGTATGGATGCATAAGTGTAAGTGCAGTAGGCTACTCACTGGACAGACATCTATGTGGCTACACCCAATGGACTCATGTATGCCATAAATTTGTGTCAAGAACAATGGACAAACGCAGTGTCTAGTGGCGGTTAGATGCTGAAGGAAGAGGGTCTTTCCCTGTTTTAGCCTCAATTGCACTCTGCTACCTGCTATGAGAGATCAGCTGTCTAAGCATCATTTACTTAACTCTTTTCAGCCTGTGATACTTAATTTATTCACTAGCTGTTTAACTGGGGATATTCAAAAGCATTTGAGACACATATCAAAAGCTCTTTTTTTTAAAAGCACATTTCCCCTGCATTTACACAAAAATACAGGTAATTTCCCATCTCCCCATCCACCTTTCCCTGATTTTTTGGGTTTTTCTGTAACTGTTTAATTCAATAAAGGAAGCTGAAGGCAGTAGTGGCTACATCCTTATAACTTCAAAAACAATTGTTGGGATCTAGACAGAGGGTGCTTGTTTTTTGGGTGGTTCAGAGTTTGATAGATAGGGTCCCGCTCATTTCCCATGTGAAGGCAGAGAAGCAACATAGTGAAAAGAAAAGTGGTACTGGTAAGGAATTTCTCTTTTGTAGGCTTAACTCCAGTCAGATGGTGTCAGTTGTCTGTCTAGTAAATATTTGTATGTCATATTGCTTAGGTTGCAATTGTTGCAGAATTTGATCCAGCTAGAATGATGGCTGACACAGTGGCATCTAAAGCTAGAATGGGCATTGGAACTGAAGAAGAATTTATTCTTCAAAGGCCGCTGTTTAAGTTGCAGACATACAGTGAACAACAGGTAATTGCCTCTATCATGTAATTTATAGTATGCAAATTAATATATCAAAACCAGAAATATGAATAATGGAAAGTAAATTTCATGAATTAATACAAAAATATTGAGGGTTTTTTTAGAAATCTTAATATTGTTAAAATGAATAAAGTAAACCTTTTGATGTGTATTATGCTTATATCTAAGACTGCTGATTTTTCTCCTGTGTTAGCATCAAGCTAGATATTTAAGTCAAGTTTGGAGAGAGAGAGACTGTTGTGAGAATGTGTATAATGGGAACATCTTTTAATGAAAGAGTGCTCATTCCATAGTCTTAGAGTCCTACAGAACACAAAGTATATAGTACACTGTACAGTACAGGCATACCTCGGAGATATTGCGGGTTCGGTTC